ATGAGAAATCGTATGATAATTAACACGTAGAATTATTTGATTTCGACAACTCGCACACCGTTACATTATCTGAAATTTTAACTCTAAGGGCTAACAAGTTTGACAATACCTAGTTGAATGTCAAGAAGATTCTTTGATTTACCGATTTTAAAAAACTTTTTTATTTTTACGTGAATAGAATCGAATATTTATGAAATATTTGGAATAATGTAATTTCAGTTTGTTTTCCAAACTTTTCGAATCAAGCTTGACACACGAATAGCAATACAACGTAAATTAGTATTGTTGAATTTTTCACGTTCAAATAGGACGGATTTGTGAACCAAAATCGCGTCGACGCTGCAGTTATATTAACTGTGTAGGGTCACATGCAAAAACATGTAGATTTAGTAATTGTTTTATGTAAAGCACGACCTACCCTCTTTGCAATAAAAATGAAAATTAAATCATCGAGGAAATTTTGTTAGATAAATTCAGAAATACCAAATAAAGGAATAATTTATTGAAAGAAAATTAAATAAATTATAAATAAAAATTTAACAATAATAAATATATAATTGAAATTGTTGTTTAAGAATACTAATATTCGAATTTATTCTGGTTACCTTACCTTAATCATCAGATGTACTGACAAATTTTCAGAGAATATCATTAATGGTTGATATCATGAGATAATTTTTGAGATAATTTCTTTAGATTTTAATATTTTTAATTTCAATGCATTTATTCGTTGATTTTATATATTTTTTACAATCCAAGTTCCGATAATTTCGAATTACGAAAGAAAGTACAAAGTTTCGACTTTGAAGTCGAAAGTCAAATTTTTCTTAAGTTTCGAGATGCTTCGAAGTTTCGACATTTCGAAAAACTCATCTTTAATCCTAGCAAAAATTAATCTAATTAAAACTGATAACGTGCAACGTATACAGTTCAGAAAATGAACAAAGCATTGTATCGAAAATTTGCAATGAAAAGAAAAATGGATAACGACATTTTAATAAGCATGTACAGAGTGTTAATAAAACTGTTGTTGAATTCATGAGTATATTACGTGCAAACGTTTTGCTCCGACCAAGATGTTTCCTCGTTACTTATAAATTCTTTCTGCAATTTTTATGACTTTTTAGGAATTATTTTAATCAATATGCAATACAGCATTTTCTGTTGTTTTTCGATAAATTCTGAATTTTCGATAAATTTTTACGGGTCGTAAATCTGTCTCGCGAATTTGTAATGTTGCCTGGCAAATTAATCTTGGACAACTGTTTCAAAATATTTTACGACTGCCTTCGACTGACAATTTTGGGAAGATTGACAGGTGACAGTCGTAGGGCACGCTTGGAAATATAGTTTGGTACGATTTTGGTTAGGTTAGGTTTGACGATTTGAAAAAGGCTCTTCGACGATTCGAACGATTCGGACTGATCTGCTCCTCTATTTTTCTACAATCGATTTGAGAAAAATCGTGAGTTCGCCAAAGGATGGACGTTTCCTCATTGGCGAATTGGACTAAGGGCGTCCATCGATCCGGGAATTGGTCACCTTGAGGAAAAATAACATCCCCCGAAATTAAGACGATAGTGGAGGAAACTCCTTTCTTCGAGGTGAGGTGCACTTGGGCCAAGTGTACGAGGCCCATCCGTGCCCTGGGGACCCTTCCGAAAGGGACCACTTCGAGGTCACTCATCATTTATAACTCCGCACTAGGAGTTGTGCTGGGTCTGACGAGGTCCTTCGATTCCTCAAACGAACGAGGAATCGCGTGGAACCCCTACAGGCCTATTGTCTGTCAAGTTCCAAGTGCCATCGTCTAACTCCCTTAAATTAGAGTTTCTATTGATTTTCGTGTTCTAGGATACGGGGAGCTATAAAAAGAACTCTTTCCAAAAATTCACAATGCCTGTATGGAAAATTAGAAAAATTCCGAAATCGAAT